TAGAATTTTAAAAGTAACATTATAGATAAAAAATACTACCTTTAAAGAAATACAATTTCTTTGGTCTGGAGTTATGGTACTTAGTAAAAGATTCAGCTAAATATCCCTTTTTTTTAATTCTTTCTAAGAGGCTGTATTGATTAGTGTTCTGTTGCTTCTCCTGTTTTTGTCAGATTAGTCTCTTTGATTTAAACAGCTAAAATGAGTCCTATGGAGTCCTAGTGTGGCACTCTAGGATAATGCAGTGGACCTCAAGGTCCATTTAAACTTCAAGGTCAGCTGTTCAAACCCACGAGCCACTCCTCGGAAACTCTATACAGGGTTGCTGTGAGTCAGAACCAACTTGACAGCACTCAACAACAATAACAGGAGTCCTGGGGTGACACCCTAGGATAAGTAATTCCACCAAATAGTCAGTTTGACATATAAGGTCAGCAGTTCAAGCTCACCAGCTGCTCCTTGGGAACCTTATGGGTTGGAACCAACTGAGCCACTTAACAACAATAAAACAAGTCCTGTTGTGGCACTGTAGGATAAGCACCGGGCCACAAGGTTGATTTGAACTGTAAGGCCAGTGCTTCAAACTCACCAACTGCTTCTCAGAAACCCTATACAGGGTTGCCATGAGTCAGAACAAACTCAATGACACTTAACAACAAAAGCTTTGGTGGTACTTAGGATACGCACTGGACCATTAACCACAAGGTTGGCAGCTCAAACCCACAATCTGCTCCATGAAAGAAAGACAGTCTCAGAAACCTATATAGGGTCACCATTCTAACTTGATGGCAGTGGGTTTGAGGGAAAAGTGGTAGAAGACTAGAAATTAACTTTGAAAGTAGACGGGACTCTATCACAGAACATTATAGTGTTGGTCCAGGGTCAGACGGCTTTCCAAAAAATAAGGGAATGTGGAAAGAATTTCTTAAGGAGTTTGATGAGACATTGGATGAATATTAATGAGTATTTACTATGTGCAGAGGCTTTAGGAGTAGGCAAAGATAGAAAACACAGAAGCCTTGCCCTATGGGAGCTCAGTCTAATTGAAGAGATGAGGGCTTAATCAAACAACTGTCAGCAGACTGTGATAAGATGCAGACACATGTATGTGGGAGGTGCCTCTTTCATAAGGGTCCCAGCCCCTACCACCTTACTTTAAAGACTGCCTGATAAAGGAGAATGTTTCCAGGTTTCTGAGTCCTTGTTATCATCTCCTCCCTCAATGCAGGAGCTTTCTAAGGACTCTTCCTGCCCTTGTGTCCCCTCCTATACATGACTGTCCAATGAATCTTCCTAAAATACTGCTGAGATGTCATAGACCTGCCAGTTAAAAAAAAAAATCCAGATTTCTTAGCCTGACATTAAGGCCCCACTTGCTCATCAATCCAACCTTTCCCCAAACACTCTGCAGAGTTTCTTGTGCTGGAAATGTCTTTTCTGCCTTATTAATTGTTGAAATCTGACCCAATTCTTCAAAGTTAATTTCAGACATCACCTCCATAGTAAGACATTCCTGTTCCAGTTACTAGAAGTGGTCACTTTCTACCTCCCCTGTGGTATAGTACTGTCTTATAGTTTAGTGTTGTTGTTGTTGTTAAGTACCGTCGAGTCGGTTCCGACCCATAGCGACCCTGTAACAGGGTTTTATAGTTTAGTAGTTTTTGTTATTAAGTGCCATCAAGTTGATTCTGACTCATAGTGATCCTGTATAGGGTTTCCAAGGAGCGGCTGGTGAATTTGAACCACCGATCTTGTGATTCAAACCGGTCTTTCAGTCTAGCGCTTTATTCAATGAGATTTTATATACTTTTCATCATGGTATGTTTTTTAAGGACTAGATCTTAGCCATCATTGTATCACTTGTGGCATCCAGCAGTGCCTTGTACATAGTAGGCACTAGAGAAATTTAATGAATGAGTTAATTAAGGATTAACTATTCAGTTCTATTGTGCAGTAAAGTGTGAGGTTAGAGGTGTGTATGGCCAGAACCCTGGAGAGGGTTTTCTGGAGCTGGTGATTCTTAGCTGGGCCTCACTGTGAGGACTGAGACCAAGATAGAGGAATAAAGGGCTTCCTGAACAGAAGAGTGGCCCAAGAAGCAAAGAAGTAGAGGAAGAAATGAGCATGTACAGATAGGCAATATCTGATTATGTATTCCCCACCCCCACCCCCCCTTACACTGCAAGGAAAGAGACAAAATGCCCTTTTTTGGAGAAGTTCTCAGGAAAAGTAGTTATTATCAACTCAAGGCCTGTTCCAGCCAGATAGTGGAGATGGAAAGAGCACTTGTGGAAAAGGAAGAGACTTGGGGGTTTGACATAGCAGAATCATAGTTTCCCAGCCCCATAGATAGAGTCAGTGTAGGATAGATAGAAAAGACTATAGCCCACCTAAGGAGGCATAGGGCTTCACAGCCTGAGTCATAGACGAAAGATAAAATTCAGGCAAAATTACCTCTTAAACAAAAAGTAAAAAGCACATTATATAAGTAAAGTGCCTTCTTAATATTATGCTAACATCATCCCTCTGGCTGAACTGAGCGTGTCATGGCCTTGAACACAGATTTTTCATAGATTACCAGATTGAGAAATGACCTGGAAGCTTTGTCTTTACCATGCTTCTTATCTTTGTCTTTCTTTGTGCTTTCAGGGGAGTTCTCCTGTTTTTCTATGGGAATCTCTACTGTGGAGTCCCTGTGGGTGGTTAAGAGTGCAGCTGCTAACTAAAAGGTTAGCTAGCGGTTCAGACCCTCCCAAAGGCACCAGAGAGACAGACTTTGTGACTACATTTGAAAAGTCACAGTCTTGAAAATCCTGTGGAGCAGTTCTCTGCATACACAGGGCGGCCATGAGTCACAATTAGCAGCAACTAACAACCACCTCTATTGTTGCATAACCCTGTTGTATTGAAATGATCAGTTTCCATGTCTATTTCTCTCACCAAAATTTTCAGCTCCTCCAGGACAAAGGAGGCAGTGGTGATTCAGTGGTAGAGTTCTCACTTTCCATGTGGGAGGCCCACGTTCAATTCCTGGCCAATCTACCTCACCCATCTGTCAGTGGACACTGTATGTTGCTATGATGTTCAACAGGTTTCAGCAAAGCTTCCAGACAAAGACAGAATAGGAAGAAAGGTCTGGTGATCTACTTTAGAAAATCAGCCAGTTAAAACCCTATGAATCACAGTCCCATCCACATCCAGTCATAAGGATGGCACAGAACTAGCAGTGTTTCATTCCTTTGTGTGCAGGGTTACTGTGACTTGGGGGCTGACTTGACAACAACCAGAATGGGACTGTTGGACCCTTGCATGTAGCAGGAATTAAGCATTTTCAGGAGGAAGACTTATTTTGAGGAAAGGGGCCAGGAGATTGTTGGCAAGATAGACAATTTGTATGTGTCACAGGGAAAATGTGTTTCTCTGCCCTTTGAACCCCTTGGAATACAGAGTCTCCTCCAGGGCTTCGCACTGAGCCTGGGATGTGTGCGAGTGAATGCCAAGTCCATGTCACTGGTTACCACATAGGTTTTCTCTGTTTTCTTCACAGCGAGAGCCTAGCATTGACCTGCTGGAGGCCTTTGTGGAGCACTGGAAAGGCATCACTCACTATTACATTGAAAGTACAGGTAGGTATGGATGCAGTAGCTCAAAAGAGGGAACAAATCTTTACAGCAAGGATCATTCCTACCCCCTCCACACAAGGAGAGGACAGGGATGGGCAACTTGGACATTGGCTACCAAAAATGGGGGGCTACAAAGGCAAGAAGTGACTGGCTTACAAGCTTTCAAGAGGGAACCTAGATCCAGAGGGTGTAGAAGAAAGTAGAATCTCTACTGAGTAGTATCCAATCTGTCTAGGCGGGGCTGATCCCTTGTGATACAATAGTGAATAATTGTTATCAGGACTGATTGTGAGGGTTGGAAATGTAAAGGTAGACGTTTTGTAGCAAGGAGGGGAGCGGAGGTCTCTGGGACCATCAAGAGAGAACAGCGGAGAGCAGGACCCTACCCAGAGAAGCAGTGATGTCTGAGATGGAGGCAGAGACGATGTGGAAAGGTGGAACAGTTGGGGACTTTAGACACAGAGAGGGAGAGGGGCTGTGTGCTGATGACCGGGGGGCAGGCTTGTGGTGTATACCCTTTGGTTGGTTGATGATGCATGGAGGGGATTGTAACCATGGCAATGAAACAATATACAATAAGATGAATGTAAAACTAATGTTCTCCCATGTAAACTATCACATAATTCACAATAAAACATTAAAAAAAAAAAAAGAAAGTACAGGTAGGGCCCGAGCCTCCTCTGAAGGGAGTGGGGAGGAAGGTGTAAGCAGAGTTTTACCACCCAGCTCAGAGATGCCCCTGCCAGGAGTTCATAGCTAGGATGGAGCTTATAGAGACAGGCGGAGAAACAGGCACCAGGCTGAGCTGGAGCCTAGGCTACCTCTGTTCCCAACTGTTTAGTTGCTAGCCCCAGTTTCCAGGAGAGAAGCTATGTGAGGTGCGAGTGGGAGCTGGGAGGCTGGGCCTTTCACTGCACGGCAGCCTGAGGGATTGAGCTCCCACTGTGTAGAGGGTCCACTGGGTAAACTCTTCAGTCCCCAAGTGCTTATTTTTTTTTAAAAAAAAGGTATCATATTTCCCTTAGCCAACTGAGGATATTTCCCAAGTTGAGATTCAGGGTCAGAGGAGAATAAAACCAAGATATGTAACATGTCAGACTTCCCAAGCTGACACCCCAGAGAGCCAAGATCTTGAGACCACTGTGCCCTTCCCAGTCGCACACAGAGTGGGCAGAATCTGATTGGCTGCTTTGTAGTCCATCTGCTGGTATTGGTGGATACAGACCGGTTGCCAAGTGACCTCATCCTATGTCCTGGCTTTCCACCTCCTAGAGCTCAGACTCAGGGTAGGATCTAGCCTACACCTTTTCTAAAGGCTTTCTTTTCAGCCTGGGCCAGCCTAAGAAATTTAAAGAGTGGTCTTTGGATGCTGTGAAGGGTCCTCAAAAGTTCCCATAGACCAAAGGTTTTCAACCTTGGCACTGCTGGCATTTTGTCAGACATCTCTTTGTTGTGGGCACTATCCTATGCTCTGTAAGATGGTTAGCAGCAACTCTGACCTCTACCCTGGTTGCCAGTAGTATCGCCTTTGGTTACTACAACCATAATATATCCAGGCATGCCAGATATTCTCTGAGGGGAGACAACGCCCCCAGATGAGAACCACTACATAGGCTGAGACCCTCTGAAGATCATTTGACAAGAGTCCCAGTTTACCAGGAAAGTAGGAAGAAACCCAGACTGATTTAGACTCTACCTGGGCCTAGTCCTCTTTCTGAATGGTGTCTAGGACTAGAGGAGTTGGAAATCAATGAGGACGACTGCCTTGCTCAAGATCCTATGCCTTAAAGAGAAGCTAGAGGGTGCTCCAAGGCAAATCCCAAAGTACCCAAACTTTTCTTTTTTTAAACACTCTATCCTCTGAAACTAATGTCTCCATGACTTTTTTAAATGCCCCACTATATAGCTCCTGCCATCAGGGCCTTGGCACGATGGAACAGGTTCAAGGTAGAATGAATGGCAATACACACATTCTTTTTCTGTCCTGTAAAAACCAGAGTAGTGGCTTCCCTTGGTGCAAAAAGAACATGAACAGGTCCCAAGGAGTTATTTCTCAGGAAGGTGCTAGAATATAGGTTCTAACTTACGTGACAGAGACCCTGAGCCTGTGGCTTCTAACTCAGTCCCAAAGCTGACAGGCAGCCCTAACAACATGTCCTTCGTGTCCTACCCCAAGATTTGGAGGAAATCACGCTGCCACGTCCTTCTGATCAAGTGCTAGTTGTAGCCTGGCCACATCCAAAAGCTCTTCTGTCGTTTTAAATTCAGAAGCACTAACTATAAACTTGTGTTTCCTTTGGTCTTTGTTTGAAGCAAACTTGGTTTCCTCAGTATAGAGGTCTGCTCCTGGTTGCCCTCAGCCCTTTGGGCCCCTGGGCCTTGACCTCCATCTCCCAGACACAGCTTCTTTCTAACCTGCTTTGGCAGGGGTGTGGATCTTTTCAGGAGGAGGGTCCCTCTTCACTCACTCATCCGTGTTTTCTGAATCTTGGTTTAGATGAAAACACTCCAGTCAAGAAAACAGACATTCCCTGGCGGCTGAAACAGATGCTGGACATCCTGGTGTATGAGGAGAAGCAGCAAGCTGCTGCTGGCGAGGCTGGGCCCTGCCTGGAGTACCTGCTGCAGCACAAGATCCTTGAGACCCTGTGCACGCTGGGCAAGGCTGAGGTGGGCAGGAAATGCAGCCCAGATCCTGGGGTGCCTCCAAGCACCTCTTTGACCTTCTGCCAGAGGCAGGACCCCAGGAAGCACCAGGGCACTGGAGTGAAAACCCTTGGATTCTAGTGTCTTCTACCTGTCTTCCTGCCAGTTCCAACCTGAGGGTGGGGAGCACAAAAGGGGACGGGACTGACTGTCTCACAACATTCCATCGGCTGCAGGGGCTCTGGCCTGTTTCTGTACTTGGGTGCCTTCATTCCACAAAGATGTATTGAGCACTAGCCATGTGTAGGTATTCTTGTAGATGCTAGGGATAGAGCAGTGACTAAAATGGACAAACACTCCTGCTCCCATGGAGTTTGCATCCTAATGGGGAGAGGCAGAAGAATCTAATGAACTCACCTAGAGATGCTCCATGATAACAATTATGGGGGGGAATTAAAACAGGGAAGAGGCGAGGAAATGCAGGGGAGGCCACTTTCAAATAACATAGTAAAGAGAGAAGGCCTTGTGGAAAAGGTGTCCTTGGAGCAGTGATCTGATAGCAGGAAATAGGCCAGGTGGCTCTTGGGAGTAGCAACGTTCTAGCCAAGGAACAGCAAGCTCCATGGATGCGATTTCTACCTTCTGACAAGATGCTCTATTCCCTCACTCTCAGTACCCACCAGGCATGCGGCAGCAGGTGTTCCAGTTCTTCAGCAAAGTTCTGGCCCAAGTGCAACACCCCCTCCTGCATTACCTCAACGTTCACAGGCCTGTGCAGGTAAAGGGCCAAGAAGCCAAGGAGTGCCTCTGGGTGAGGGTTGGGGGCAAATGACCACCTTTCTTCCTTGCCACTCATTCCCTTCTGTTTCTGCCCTGCTCCTCTTCCAGAAACTTCTCCGACTTGGGACAGTCCCAGGATCTCTCACAGAAAAGGAGGAGGTACAGTTCACCACGGTCCTCTGCTCCAAGATCCAGCAGGATCCAGACCTGCTTACCTACATTCTAGAAGTGAGCACTTCTATGGGGAGCAGGAGTGGGAGGGCCCAGAACCCCAGGGGCAAGCCCCCTTGGCCCTTCTGAAGAAACAGAAGGCTAGGTCAGGTACCCAGGGAGGCACTCAAGTAGCTTCTCCTCCTACTCAGTGCTGAGCCCCTGACCTCCAGCACATCTTGCATTCTCAAGGAGGCATCTTGGGGAATGCTCTCTTTTCATGACCTAATCTCATCTGACCTGCTTTACAGGGTAAAAAGATTATAGGTAAGAAGAAGACATCCAGAGAATCCATCACCCTGCCTAAAGCAGCAGCCAGTCACAGGGATGCTTCTGACAGGAACCCCAAACTTGATGGGGAGCCTGGTGAGGCCCAGGCCTCAAACATCCAGCTGCCTGCTGAGACTGAGAAGCCAGACGGTGGGATTGGAGAGAGCAACCTGATCACCTCCCTGATTGGGCTGTGCAAGAGCAAGGTGATGGTCATTGAGATGGAATGGATTGAGGACTAGGAAGGAATAGAATTGTTGGGTGGTGGTTTGGGGGTTCAGATGCATGCCCCTCAACTCATATCCCCATCTCCTCCCTAGAAAAGCCGCGTGGCCCTGAAGGCCCAGGAGAACCTGCTGCTCCTGGTAAGCGTGGCTTCCCAAGCAGCTGCCACCTACCTGGTACAGAGCAGCCCCTGTTGCCTTGCGATCACCGAGCACCTTTGCCAGCTGTACCAGTCCATGCCCACCTTCCTTGATCCCGCAGACATTGCCACTTTAGAGGGCATCAGCTGGAGGTAGGTGCTTGGCCAACGAAGGCTGGCAGACATCTTCAGTAGCTAAACTAATCGAGTTGGTTCCAACTCTTGATGACCTTTACAGGGTTTCTGAGACTAAACCTTTATGGAAGCAGACAGCCTCATCTTTCTCCTGCAGAAGGGCTGATGGGTTCAAACCACCAACCTTGTGATTAGCAGCCCAATGCTTAGCCCACAGTGCCACCAGGCCTCCTATCTATCTTTCTGGTAGATGGCTCCTCTTGTATTCCAAGTCGGGTAGGAACCTCTGCTGGCCACCCTCTTCCCCAGGCTATGACCAGTCCCCACAGGGTAGCATCCGTTTTGCTGTCTCTGACCACAAAGCCCCCATCAAACCGATTCCCAGCCATCGAGCTTGAAAGGGAGAAGGGAAAGGGTCCAGCTCCAAAACAGATTTGAGGAAGATCTAGCAGCTCTTGTTACCCACCTTAGCCTTTGCTCCCTCCTCTCCCTTCAGGTTACCCAGTGCCCCATCTGATGAGGCTTCCTTCCCTGGCAAAGAGGCTTTGGCTGCATTCCTGGGCTGGTTTGATTACTGCGACCACCTCATCATGGAGGCACACACGGTGAGGAAGGCAGCACAGACAGGGCTGTCCCTCGGTGTAGCAGGTGCCCTCCCAGCTTCAGCTCCTCCCTTCATTATATCTATTTCAAGGACCCAGTGAAACAGGTGCCTGAAAACGTGGAATCTGTCAAGAGCCTGGCACGACCTTGTTGCTGTTATTACTCTGAGTTGTCGAGTTGATTCCAACTCATGGCAACCCCACATGTATAGAGTAGAACAGCTCCGTAGGGTTTTTGTGACTGATCTTTCCGAAGCAGATTGTCACACCTGTTGTCTGAAGCACCTCTGGGTTGGTTGCTTTGCACCACCACCATTTCAGTTAGTAGCCAAGTGCTTAACCATTTGTCCCACCCAGGGACCTTTTGTCTGTTGTGTTACATGCTGTGCAAAGACATAGTTCTTTCTAAGTGGGTAAACCTCAATGACGTGAAACGTGCCTGAGACATGCTGTTTGGTGCCCAGGTTGTTGGGGATGCCTTGGCAAAGGCTGTGGCTGAGAAGCTATTTGTGGAAACTCTGCAGCTCCAGCTTCTGCACGTGTAAGTGTATGTCCAGTGCCCTCAGACAGGGCCATGGGATCAAACTGCCCACCCCTCCATGCCCTTTCCTGTCCCTAGAGCCAGGAAGCTCCTCAGCCAGAGTCCCATTGATGGACCCCATTGGTTAATGTTTGCCACGCTACTCCCCTTACAGGCACATAGCTCTGAGCCACAGAGCCTCAACAAAGGCTTCTCACTCTTGAGCTTCAGGACCTCACTAGGATGGGAAATGAGCAAAGAGGTATTAGCCAAAGATGTAAGGAAACCAGGGAAGGTTTTGCTACCCTCCACTCTCATTCTCTCTCTGCTCCTCCTTTGCTGATTGATCTACTTGGCTCTGAGCACTGAGGCCTGGTTAAGGTGTTCTCTCACTATAGATGTGAGCAGAGCGTACTGACCTCCACTGCCCTGCTGACGGCCTTGCTGCGCCAGCTGCGTTCCCCTGCCCTGCTTCGGGAGGCCATGACAGTTCTCCTGGGCACAGAGCGGCAGCCTGAGGCCCCTGAGGATGGCCCCCGCACACTGTGTGCCCAGCTCATTGGGCACTGTGACCACCTCTCTGATGAGGTAAGGTGGGTGGGACCCTCAGTTTCTTCCAGATCCTACCCTTAACCCCTATCCAAGGGGTTTCCTGAGCACTTCCTCCCATCGTCAGGTAATTTCCTCTGTCTGTGAGGCACTGAGTCCCCCAGAACAGTAAAGTCGTGATTGACAGCCAAACTACTCACGTCTCATAGTAATTTTCTGGGATAGCCTACCTTATTACAGCACCGTATATCCTGCAAACTGCCTTTATGTTCATTTGGCTTGTTTGATGCTTACAGCAAGTGAGGTAGGTGAGGCAGATATTCCCACTTTTCAGACATGAAAACTGAGGCAGAGAGAAGCCAAGTGGCTTGCCCAATGTCACACATCAAAATAGTAATAGTAACAGGTCCAAGACCACTCAAACTTCTTGGTTGCATCCACTCCCCACTGAAACCTACAGCCTTAGTCCCTGGCCAGAGGAATTTCCCTTTGTAAGACTTTTCTTATCTAGGTGAACAGTTCCAAGGCACCTCTCAAAGCTGGGGTGGATTTGGGTGTCTCAGTTTCCCCGGAGTTGGGAAGGGGTCATTCTCCTGAGAACCCCTCCTTTCTTCAGATTAGCATCGCTACACTGCGGCTCTTTGAGGAGCTGCTCCAGAAACCTCAAGAGCGGATCATCCGCAGTTTGGTCCTGCGCAACCTCGAGGGCCGCCCCTACGTGGCACGGGGCACACCAGAGCCTGAGAACTATGAGGACACCCTGTAAGTGAAAGCAGGTCTCTCTGGGAGGCCTTGGGCTGTCCGGGAACCATCCCAGCACTCCGCACTCCTATAATCACTCATCCCTAAATGCCTGGTTTGTCTGCCCTGGCCACAGGGATCTGGAGGAAGACCCTTATTTCACAGATGGCTTCCTCGATTCTGGCTTTCAACCTTCCTCAAAGCCTCCCCCAGCTCCTACCACCAATTCAGAGGGCAAAACGGCAGTGACTGAGATCGTCAACAGGTAGGGAGTAGGTTAGGAAATGTGAGCCTTTCCGAGTTTTGTTGTGTCTGTGGTCAGAACCCTAATGGGGTCCAACCAGGAGGGAGTGTTCCCTCAGGAACCACACAGGCGGGGGTGCTCCCTGAGGGCTGGAGCTCCCACAGACCCAGAAAGCCAGGAAAGCCCTGATGGAGCACCCACACCTAGATTGTGTCTCTCAGTTTCCTCTGCCTGGTTCCTGAGGAAGCCAAGACATCAGCTTTCCTGGAGGAGACTGGATATGACACCTATGTCCATGATGCGTATGGCCTGGTGAGTGTCTAGGCCTCTGCCTACCTCTTTGATTTGATAACTCCCTGTTCCTCCTCTGTGATCACTGGTTCCTGCCCCACATGCTTTCAACTCTGGCCAAATGTCCTGATCCTGTCCTTCCTGGGTGGTGGTCTTTCCTGACCTCGACTTTCCCCTTCCTGTTTCAGTTCCAGGAGTGCAGTTCCCGAGTTGCTCCCTGGGGCTGGCCCCTGGGCCCCACACCCCTGGACCCTCACGAGCCTGAAAGGCCTTTCTTTGAGGGTCATTTCCTCCAAGTGCTCTTTGATCGGATGTCCCGAATTTTGGATCAGGTAGCCTACAAGTCTGGGCCCCTGGCAACAAGGCAAGAGCTCCAGCTTTGTGCCCTCTGAAGGAGAGGAGGGACTGCTCATGGGGCCTGACTCTTCTTCATATTTTAGAATCCACCAGAAACCCTCACCCCCACCCCAACTTTCCCAAGTGGGAAGCCCCATCTTGCCTCTGTTCCACACGTCCTAACATGTTCTGGCCCTCAGCCCCAGGGAATCCATGACACATACATATCACGTGAGCCTCCCACCCCCGCACACGTTCACACTGGCCAGGCGCCTTGCTGGGGGAGTGCAAAAATGCTCACCAGCCCTGGCAGCCTTCAGCTGTGTCCACCATGTGTTCCCTACAGCCATACAGCCTGAACCTGCAAGTGACCTCAGTCCTGTCCCGGCTTGCCCTCTTCCCCCACCCCCATATCCATGAATACCTCCTGGATCCCTACATCACTCTGGCCCCTGGCTGTAGGAGCCTCTTCTCTGTGCTCGTCAGGGTAAGACTACCTGGGCCTGGTGGGGGAGGGGGACGGTGGAGAAAGGAGACTAATGGAAAGGCAGACTACGAAAGCATCTAGAGGAATGAGCACCCTCGCTGCACACACATCCATGACACAGCAGAGTCAGGGGATCCTGTTAAGAGAGTTCTAAGTTCCCCATCTCAATTGTTCACACTCTAGGTGATTGGAGACTTGATGCAGAGGATTCAGAGGGTACCCCAGTTTCCAGGCAAACTGCTCCTGGTGCGAAAGCAGCTAATGGGACAGGTCCCTGGGGAACAGTAAGTATTGTAGGGAGATGGAGCCCTCAGGAAATGCCTTGGGGGTAGAAGGTGGAATGCTTTAAGCTAGGGGAGGGACCAGCCATGGAAAGCATATGAGAGCCTGTTGCCAAGCTCATCTTCCACCTCTAGTTATGCATTAGGGACGCTGGATGTCACTGTGGGCACTCACCCACCTCCTTTCAGCCATGACCCCCCCATGCTATTTCCCTGCAGGCTGGACCATCAGACCCTCCTTCAAGGTGTGGTGGTACTTGAGGAATTCTGCAAGGAACTGGCTGCCATTGCTTTTGTCAAGTTTCCCCCACATGGTCCTCACTTGAGCTTCTCCCCACCCCCATAAGGGCATGTTTGAGCCAGGAGGATGATGGGTAGAGAGACTCTTGTCCACACCTCTGTATAAGACCTGCCTCCTGCCTGCCACCTCTCTCCTCCCAGGTGGTGGGGGCTGGGATGGCCTCTACTGTGTCTCAGGGACCTCTGCCTCTGCCCAGGCCTGGCCTTCTGCTTCCAGGTTAACTAAGTTGACCTTGGCTAGTAGACCAGACAGGACTGGGTTTCAGGGAGTGGCCCACAGAGGCACCAGATGTCACAGGAGCTGATGGGATGGCTTCCCAGGCAGCACGGTGTCCTCGGGGCCTTCTTGAGGAGCTGGGTGTTGGCCAGGTGAGCACCCGAACCTCAGACCTCATGTTTTCTGGGCTTACCACGCTTCCGGCCAGAGCCAAGACCTGTGACTCAATTCAAGGGATAAGAGGAGGAATGAGAAGATGGCTTTAGAGGCTGTTGAGGAACCTAGGCCAGAGAGAGGGGCACAGGGGTCCTGTCTGTCACATTAGGTACATAGAAGCTGCTGAGACTTGGCATGCTTTCACTGCCTTCTTGGCTGGACCTGTGGAGAAGGGGCAGTGAAGGAGAGCAGGGGAAGCCCCTTCTGCCTGCTCTGCCCTCCTGGAGAGGATTGCAAAATCCCCAACCGCCTGATGGCAAATGCCCAAAGCATGCTCCGCGCCCAGGCGGGGGTAGCTGTTAATGAGAACTGTGATGCCACTACAGCCAGGGCGGGAGAGGGCCTGGGGAGACAGGGAGATGGGTGCCAGGCTCCAGCTCCAGCTGGTTTCTCACTGGCGCCTCTGAACCCGTCTCAGCAGGTCCACAACACCTGGGTGCAGAAGCTCAGAGACCAGGAGAGGCCAGACCTGGCCCTTAGCCTTCTGTCCAGCCCCTAGTGGTCTCCTAGGGAGGTAAGGGAGCAGGAGGCCAGGATCCCACCCTGCTAGAGGCCCCTGAGGACTGGTGGGGAGGCGCTGGGGCCCAGGCAGCCAGTTCCGATGTTGTTCTCCCTGCGTGCCCTCCATGGCTAGGGCTGCCACCCCACCCGCTCCGAATCTGTCTCGACCTGCAGGAATACACAGGCGGTGCCAGGCATTACCTCACAGCAGGACTGCAGTTGCTGGCTTAGCTCCTGGGCAAGGAGGAGCAGGCCAGAGCCCCTTTCGCTTCCTTTTCCTGCCCATGCTGCTTCTAGAAGCAGGGCACAGGTTGCCAAGAGGTGACATGAAAGAGGAGGAAACTCAATGACCTCGACCTCTCCCGCATTCCTCCAAGCCAGGGAGAACTTTGCTGCTCTGAAAGACGTGTGTGCACGCGTGCGTGTGGGACGGGGCCGATCTCAGTGGCTGAACTGTATCTGGACTCTTAGATTCAGGAAATGTTCAAGGGTGTAGGAGTCACAGGCCTGACACTCTCAATGCACTTTGGCATTTGCATGGTGTCGTCCCCAAGACAGCACAGCAATAAATGGTGTGGTTGTGTGAACACGGGCTCTGTTCTACCTTTGCATCCTTCTGCCCAGGGACCCACTGCTAATTCAGACCCTTCTTCCTCCCCAAGCAAGACAAATTAAATTTCTTTTCCAGCACCGGCTGGAGGGGGTGGTGTGTGGTGGGGTGGTAAACAGACACAGGCTCTGGCAGTGCAAATCTGATGTTCCTCAGCTCCTGCCAGGAATCAGACTCTTTCTTGGCCAAGCAACATGATTTCTACTCCGCTCACCTACAGCTATGAGCCTGCTAGCCTTAGAGACATACCGTGAGAGAATGAGTTGTCTGCTAGCATCTGTATGCGGTTCTCATTTTTGTGTTTATGTTGTATAGCGTATAACTAACTGTTTTGGTCTTAAACAGTGGGCTGGATATTTTTTAAATGTCCCTAAATACAGTGTGGAGTCCTGGTGTGGCACTGTGGGTTAATGCACTGGACTGCAAAGTTGCTTCAAACTGCAGGATTGATGGTTCAAGCTCACCCAACTGCTCCTTAGAAACCCTACACAGGGTTGCTATGGGTCAGAAACGACTTGATGGCACTTAACAAATGTGTACTTCCAAGGGGTTCACCAACACTGCTTCAGGGCAGGACAAAGCTGAGTTTTCACAATTGTTTCGCAGTGGTTCTCAACTTGGTGTGGTATATGTTAGGATCACCTGGGTGGCTTTTTTAAATACCAATGAATGCTCAGGCCCCTGCCTTCCTCAGTTAAATCACTGTCTGTGGGGATGGGGGACAGAGTAGGTGTAAAAACCACCCCAGGTGACCTTAATTTGCACCCAGGGTTGAAGACTAGTCTAAAAATAAAATTATAGCAGCAAATCTTATTACCCTTCTAAATAGATATGGCTTGGTGCCTCCCTCAGAGGGGAAATGAGTGAGCAGGAAATAAGAGTTTGGTTCCATCTTTTGGAACGTTTGTCCTCAGTTACAAAGATTCCTACCGCAGCTCGATAGGTCAGAAAGGTAAGATGGAGGCAGTTGGAGACCTCCAGCTAAAGGGAGCTAGGGAAAGGGCCTTTGAGATCATCTTGGTCCTTCGGGGTACAGTGCAGTTACCCGGGGATAAGGGAAGTCCGTTCACGTGTCTTCCCTGCATAGAATCAAAAACGTGAACATCATAAACAATGATGAGCACACCATTTATTTTTTGTTCATTTTCTTTGGCTTTCCCTTCAATTTTGGTAGTTCTTTTAAAAAAAAAAAAAAAAAAGCCTACCATGATTCAGCTGGGTCTGAGGTTAAATGGAGAAAGGTTTTGGTCCAGTTCAAGCAGAGGTACAAGCCTTGGGGCTGCCAGAGTGATGGAAGAGGGATCAGAGCTAGAGAAACTTGGGAAGAAAGAACCGAAGAACCTCGAGCAGAGGCAGGGGCAGCATCAACAACTTGGTTCCCACCTGAAGCATCTCCTGGCGTTCTCACTGTTCAAACCTCAAAAGGTTCAGTTGTGTTTCCGTAGGGATGTGGTCCCTGCACAGTCACATCCCTTCCTAACCAGTGAGATGGAGAGCCCCTGTTGAGGTCACTTACACCTAAGACCCTGCCCTAGCCACCCCCACCTCCAGCAGGCTTAGCTCTCTCCAGTATCAGCACACTGTCTGGGAAAGGCCCAGGGTGGCCATCAGTGGGACATGGACACATCTCTTTTTTTACAGCACTTCCCACAGAGTCACTTAGGTAAAGTAAACAACTGCAAGAGGTGTGCTCTCCACATGCCCTTTTCATTCTAAGTGTCAGAACTCAGAGGGAGGCCTGTATGGAGGTGGGCAAAGGAAATGGTGACTGTCATCTCAGGTTCAGAAAGTTCCCATATCCCCATATGGAGTAGCTGCAGTTTGCCCTCAGAGCAAGCACGATCTTGAGCTCTGGACAGTGCTTGGTTAAAGAACTGTCCATCTTGGTGTATGTGATGTAGGGACCTGGTTCCGTAGCCAGGAGAGATGAAAATCCCCTGGAACCAGGACACTGCCCCTGCTCGCAAAGCAACAAAAATCCTGTCCAGCAAATCCCGAACTCCTTCAGAGGCAAGGGGAGATACAGTGGAGGAGGGCATAGAGGCCCAGCTTCTTGCTCACTTCCGGCCCTTTCCTATCTGTTGACTGGGATGACAGATGATTCCTGAAGCCTATGTAAGAGCTGGCTTTGTAGGTCTTCCTCTGCCACCTTCCACCAAAAGAAGTTTTCACCCCGAATCTTCGGGGGCTCACTTTGGGTACCTGGGTTTCGGAAAGCCACTGTCACTAACACATTCAGACAGATACCATCCACATGGTCTTTGCCCAGATGCTGCAGTCCAAGCAACCCCTTGGTCTCCACCGCCAAGTGGTGCAGGGTCAGACACTCCTGTAACAGCCGCAGGATGGCTACCTTCATGCCACCTCTCTGCTCCATGGGGGTGAAGCCACAAGCAGTGATGGGCAAGTGAGGTATCCCCACAGTGCCCACCAATACCCATACTGTCTGGACGCTAGTAAAGGTGGTTACAAGCCGTTGACAGACCACATTGCAGGGAAGTTCTTGGGGTAGAATTGGAGGGTGCTGAGCTTGCCGACAGTACTGGGCAGCTAACTCTACCAGGTGCAAGATGTCATGGGCTCGCAACGGAGTAGGCAGGGAAGTTCGTGGGTACCAGCCAGCCTGCAGGGACTCTGCATCTGCGTCCTTGGAGGTCTTGAGAATTCCACCTATGATATTTGGGAGACATGATGGGAAAAGAGAAGGGCCAGGTCCTGTAGAGTAAAACACATCCAGCCACTCTATCCCCAACCCAGGGAACAGGCCCAGAGTTCTGGGACAGGAATCTGGTCATGCCAGGCATGCACTAACCAAAATAGGGCTGGCAGTGGCGGGGCTCACGTCACCTAACAACAAGTTTCCGAGGAAATGGTGTCAACTGATGCCTGCTCACGTGATACCAGGTGGGACATACCTGTGGGGCGAGCAAGGAACACGAATCGGACCCAGGAGGGGCCCCGTTCCTCCACAGACAGCATCGTCAGGGGTTCACACTGCAGCCCTGCCTCTTCTTTCACCTCACGCTGCAGCGCCTCCACGATGGTCTCCCCTGGCTCCATTCTCCCTGCAGGTAGGTACCAAGACCCACGGCACTCTCGCTTGGCCTCCTGAATCAGTAGCACCTCATCCTAAAGAGAGAGAGATTCCTCACCCTACCTCCCATTATAGCTGGTCTGGGAGCTCCAGCACCCACAAGTCCACAGAACAGCAAAACCCTAAGGCTTCTCTTGCCGTGGGGCCTGATCGTATGTGCCCTTCCTGATGCCCAATTACCATGTGAGTCCACACTGACTCACGGAGGCCCTGTATGTAGCAGGGTAGAACTGGGCTCCATAGCGTTTTCAAACGTTGGCTTTTTCTGGGAGTAAGTTGCCAGACCATTCTTCTAAAGTACCTCTGCGTGGACTCAAACTTGCAGCTTTCCAGTTAGCAGCAGAGCACGTTTAACCATTTGTACCACCCAGGGACACCCCCTTGCTGATGGGATGGTTGAGCTCTCCAGGGGCCACAGGTCTCCTCACTGCGATTCATCCCTCGTTAGACTTCCTCTTGAGAAAGGGGCTGAGATTTCTGGGCTAGTGTGTCCTGTCTTGAACTGAATCACGGCTGCATTTGTCATTGTATCTCTACATGGTTTACAAACTGCTATGACTAGTACTAACGCTAATGACTACATTTTGATTCACACCCTTACTCAGCCTTATACTACCCCTATGTCTTGCTCTCTTCTAGCTGTTATTCCAGCAACTTTTACAGGAATCAGCATTAAAGAGTTTTAGGGAGCTAGAAGGCTGAGTTTAAGTGTGGGGTCTGCTATTACTGATCAAAGAGGCCTATGGGAGGTCTCTGATGCACTAAACTGATCTTCAGAAGCGCCTACTAGGCACTGAATACTGTACTGGGCTCCTGGGCAAGGAAAAGGAATATAACAGTCCGAGGCCTAGGGGGCTAGACAAAATACGGACAAGAGCTCCAAAGCTCCTGGGCCTCAGTTTCCTCCTCTGTATAATGGGTGGATGGATGGCACGCCTGGAGGGCGCAGAGCTCAAATTCAAGTCTAAGGGAAAGTGCTTTGTAAAACTGTAACGCGTCACACACGAGTGAGCGGAGGTTCAGTCCTGCAAGCTCCAGTGGCCCTGGCCACTCACCTGATCATTGAGGAACACGGCTAGTACCACGTAGCAGACGTTCTTCCGCAGCCTCACCGGGGTCACCGGCTCCTCGGCCGGCACCGAGTCGCAGCTCAGCACGCGCGGCCCCCTACCCCCCAGCACGTCCGCCAGCGCCCCCGCCAGGCCTTCCGAGGCCATCGGGTCCCATGTGAGGGGGCGAGCGTAGAGCCCGACGGCCGCTTGGGCCCGGTGGGGACGCGGCGAGGCCTGGGGTCCGTCTCCCTCTGCCCCTCCCCCGCGGGCTCGGCCCCGGCGCGCTTGCAAACGCGGAAGAGCTGCCGAGCCCTCGCCGCTGATTGGCTGCGTCTCACCGCGGCCGGCCTCTGAGGGCTGACCCGCGCGGGCACGAAGGGGGCGGAGCCAGCCTGGAGAGGCTAGGTGACCCGCCAGGGCAGTGCGGTCTCCTGCCTGGCTTCAGCTGCTCAATCGGCCTCTACTGTTTGGGACGTCTCCTTTCCTCTCCCCGCCCCCTCCGGACCTAGCTCATTCCTTTAGCAAGCACTTGTCTGCACTGGTTCTGTCACTGACGTCAACTTGTCTGCAGGGTACTAAGACGCCACAGTGGTCTGCGACGATGATGTCACAAAAGAGTCAAATGACGTCACGGGGCTGTGGCGAGCAGTTTAGATCAGTTTTCCAACTTTTGTCATAAGCAAGCTATGGCTTTCCCCCAGATAACCACTTTTCGAATAACTTTCTTCTGTCAGTGCCCCATGCAAGGGGAGACCAAAGCCCCTGTGGAGGCGGAGATTCTAGTTGAAGAGATGAACATAATGCGTATTAAAAAGTATCTGTGGGTTATCAGCTAAGTGCTAAATGAGTGGTGTGGACAGGAGGTGTAGACGCTTAGAGAAGGGAGAGGTCATCTCTAGGATGGCCAAGGTGGGGCAGGACTGGAGATTTGCAGAATAGACTGAAGAGAGGGCATGGAGCCAGGCGGTCAAGCCTTGGTCAGTGTACAGTGTGCTACTCCGAGTCCACAGGGCCTGGCACATTGAAAACAGGGTGTGGGTTGTTTTGGTGAGCTATGCTTTTTCCTCCTTAGAGCTTCCTTTAACCTCCTAGCAGCCTGGGCCAACTGGAATGAAACTATGAAGCAAGCCAAGGCAGACTCCTCACCTCCATTTAGGCCTTGTCTTTATTCGTTTAAAGGAGCCCTGGGGGTGTTGTATGATAAACACTGGACTGCTAACCACAATGGCAGCAGTTCAAAACCCACCGTCTACTCTGAGATAGAAAGATGAGGCTTTCTGCTCCCATAAAGACTCACAGCCTTGCTGTAAATCGGAATCCACTCGATAGCAGTGGGTTTGGTTTGGAGCTCTGGTAGTGCAGTGGGCTAAATGTTAGGCTGCTAACGGAAAGGTCAGTAGTTTGAACCCACCAGCTGCTGCTCAGGAGAAAGGCAGTCTGTCCAAGATTACACCCTTGGAAGCCTTATGGAGCAGTTCTTCTAGTCCTATAGATAGGGTAGCTTTGAATTGGAATGGCTGTCGTAGTGATGGATGGGATTTACTCTTTTACCTCCTGCTGGCTTTGTCTCCCCTTTTTGGAGAGAATGTCTGGTGGGGTGGCCTAAATGGAGGTAAGGAGTCTGGCTTGCTTCATAGTTTCATTCCAGTGGGCCCAGCTTGCTAGCCAGTTGGCAGAAGGAGCTGCTGCCCTCAGTCCTAAGACCTCCCGACCTTCCAGACTGCAGAGCAACTTGTCAGTTTGTGTGTCAGCTTTATGTATGTGTGTTTATCCCTTGGTTTTCCCATCTGTGAAGTGGGGACAGCGTTGGTTCCAGACTCCTTCCTGCCTCCCAGGGATGATTTGAGAGAGTGAGGTCATGTCTGGGCAAGGCTCTTGAGAGCCTCAAAGGCAGCCTAAGATAAACACCAGACAGCCTAACTGCTTGGAAGAGCAGAGACTACAACAAACCACGGCTCCACTTCCCCCATTATCACTGAGGAAAAAAACGTTCGTCTTCCATCAAGTAGGCCTAATCACCTCTGTGGTCAGGATCACATGAGGCAATGGAATGCGCAAAAGCGCCTTGTAAACCGTGAAGGGCTGCACAAGTAGGAGGAACTATTTTCCCAAGTGCTGAGGGAGACAACAGAGACTCTTCTCAAGGCCGTCAGAGAAAAGAGAGAGACACTGAGACAGAGACATTGAAAAGCTGAGGAGGGAGAAGAGAGGGCTAAGACAGAAAGATACCAAGCCCGAGGCCACTAGGAGCCAAAAGAGACCCAGCTAGTGAGGATGGTCCTCTAAAATCAGGAACAAAGAAAGATCTCTGTCAATTTAGGTTTGTGTCCTCCATTCCCAGAGAGAGAAGAAAACTGGCTAATGTGGGTGGCCACACAAGAAATACCAGTGCAGTGGACAGGAACTATCTGATTGGTACAGTGCTAGGCTCCCAGCACCCATGAGAAAAACCTGGACCAACCATTTCAAGGAACACACATGCCTGTGGGTATGAACGTGTAAGCAGGAAGGCCTGTGGCAGGCAACATAGAGACAAGGGTAGGGCATGTGTGTACACTTAGCGCTGTGGACAGAGTAGCAACCCTTGTCCTTAAAGTGGGAAAGGAGAGGAGGGCCACAGCCCAAGCATCCAGGCCCTCCTGGTAAGGAGATCTGGCTCACGCTGAGCTCTGCCACAAGATTGTTTAGCGACTTTGGAAGAATCATATCTACCCTCTAGGCCATCTGTGAAGAGAACACAATCCTAGGTCCTTTGTGGAGAAACTGGTAAATCCAAATAAAGTCTGAAGTTTAGTTAACAATGTATCAATGTTGAGTTCTTAATTTTGATAGATGGTCCTGTAAGATGTTAACATTAAGGGAAGCTGGGTGAAGGCTAATTGGAGACTTCCTATAGTATCTTCTGACTCTTTTGTAAATCTAAAATTATTTCAAAATAAAAAGTCTAAAACTTTTATAAGAAAAAACAAGAGATATTAAGATATGTTGTTGTTGTTGTTAAGTGCCATCGATATAGGTGGACATATATTGTTTGGTCAATACGAGGGTTGGAAACAGAAGATGGACAATGGGGATGCTGGGAAAGGCCTGTGAGAAGCAGAGGTTCAAAGGGCAGGTCTGGGCTGGGGTCAAGCTACTGAGCTTCCGTGAGTGGCCACAGGCTGAGTCTCAGAGTCAGTGCCCACCTGGACCAACTTCATTCCTGGACCAAATGAACACTGATCTACCTGCTGTTCACAGGAGTTAGAAAGGGGGGGTCACTAGGATGCAGGGAGGGTGGTCCTGCAGCTTGGTGGTCTTTATTGGGAGGAGAGGCCTAGTGACTAGATGATGTCATCTCTAATAGAAAAAGTTCAAAGCACCACTGTCCACAGCAAGGACCCCGTATTTTGGGCTCTGGGGTGACATTGCAGCATGGCTGTATAAGGTGAAACATAAGTGGGGATGGGTCATTCAGTGCTACTTGGAACATATTCAGACATAAAGTACATAATGTTGGAAAGAGGGCAGAGAGGAGGACAAACTCATCTCTAAACTCCATTAAAAGCTAAGACTTTAATGTAAATGAGGTGGCTTGAGTCAGACAACTTGGTTCAAATCCCAGTTCTGTCTAAAACTGCTGTGTGTCCTTGGGTAACTTTCTTAACCTTAATTTATCTGTTTCTCATCTGTAAAAATGGAAAGAAATAATATCGACCTCAAAATATCAGTAAGGGGTCAAATGAGATAATTTAAATGAACACAGTAGTGCAGTGCTTGGTAAAGTGTAGGACTTGTCTTTTTTTATCCCACCCATGAGAAAAACTTAAATAACTGAATTTTCTGAACAATAAAGAAACAACTTTTTCTTTTTTTAAAGGAGGGATGATTACATAAATCATGGCCAAGTCACCTAATGGAACATAAGCAGCAGCCATTCCAAGTAAAGTTTTAGGTAGTGACATAGAAAATGACTAAAAATTTAAAAGAAAGAAACCAAGTGCAAAACACACCAGTCCAACACCGTGTTAAACAGATCTTTGGGGAAAATGCTAATAATGTTTAGTTGGGAGTGGGTGGGGATGCACTTAAAGGTGAGATTTTCTTATTTTCTAAAAGTATATTAACATTTAAAATAAAAATTTTTTTTATTTAATAAAAAAAATTCCCCAAACCACAGCAGAAACAATTCGGTATAACAAGAGTGGGTGCATGTATGGGGCTGAGTTATACAAGGTCAGGGATAGAGGGGCAGGGTCACACCAGAGAGGAGTAGGGGGCAGTGGGCTGGGCAAGGGCTGGGCATCCAGGTCAGGTCAGGTCAGACAGGAGAGGTGGTGGCTCCAGGATGTCTGTAGGCCATTGCTTCACAGGGGCTCGATGCTGTTGCGAACCCCAAGGCTCTGCTCACTACTGCAGCTGTCAGGAGCCATCTTTGGGGGACAATTCTACAGAGGGTTCTATTGTTTCCTCAGTGGGAACCAGGGACCCAACCCCCAGGAGAAGAGCAGGCAGAAGTGTTGGAGGTCTCTGGTACCCAGGCCCCCCAGCTCCCCCCTCCCCCCCTCCATCCCATTCCATTTGCCCTTGCTCCAGAGCAGATTTGCATGTCTGCCCTCCTTCCCCAGACCACGTGGCCTGCATGAGCAGTGCCAACCACACTGGCAGCATTCACAAAACAGACTTTAATGGAAATCTTGAAAGAGTGAGGAGGGTGGGGAGCACAGGCAGGGCGGGTGGCATCGCCCAAATCACTCCCTCTAACCCAGCCTAGGAAATCCCCTGATCCCATCTCCTCCCCACACTCCACAGCTCTTTGGTGAGAGGACAGATTTAAAGGGCCCCTTTCCCAGCATTCCCTGTAGTGCAAAAGGCTGCCCAAGAGCCCACTGAGGAGGAGGGTGGTATAGGCAGAGCTCAGGGCACAGATGGGGGTAGAGATAGGAGGTATTGCTAAAGCCAGAAGGATTCCCAAGGTCCCCCAAGGAAGAGCTGTTTTTCTCCTGGGTTGTGGGTAGGAGTGGGAAGGAGCCCATCATCCCATGTGGGCCCCGTACCATGAAGAGGAGCCTGGGGGCAGAGTAGGTCCCAGCCTCATGAAGGGCAGGTGGGAGCTTTGGTGGTATTATGGTTGTTGGCTTTAGTGCTCAAGACAGGAGCGTGGGATGAGGTGCCCTGTTTGTGCC